AGCCATTATTGTCTCATACTTGACTCAAAACCACATATGATGTATTGATGTCTACTGAGCAGTAAGAGTACCATAACTAAATGTGCTATATAATAAATATCATGTACCCCATCAATCCAGATTTATATTAAGCATGGAGTCTGGTTGAATAACAACTTCTAGTTATTCAGTTTAATCAAACTACTTAATAAACCTAGTCAACTTACATCAATTAATTAAGACTCTAATATACAATATATAATGTGTGTGTGTGTATATATATATATATATATATATATATATATATATATATATATATATATATATATATTATTAAGAAAAATCTTACATAATAAACATGTATAACAATTGAGACTCGACTTAGATTTGTCGTATTTCGCTAATATCATTCAAAGAAATTGGTTTTTGTCGGGCCGGTGAGAGGTATGGGAGTGGCCAAAAAGTGAAGGAGAAAGAGGAAAAGGCAAAGAGTCGGTCCAATTGATTAAATTTCGAGGAAAGAGATTAAGAAAAGCATGTGACTATGCATAGCAATATAGCATCCTTCTTATGAAATTTCCTCTTATCCCCACTCCAACATAACAGACAATCATCACTAATTATATTTGAGATGGTCTTAAATTTGACTTATTATAAGTGTTATTTATTAGTCCTTTCATGTGAATCGATCAGCTATGAACAATTTATATCAATGTATATCCTGCTGAATTTTTGTCGATTAAAGTTACAAAGCGGATTTCACCTAAAACGCATACTCGAGTAACAACGACAGATTTTTTTGTAATTATATTTGAGGCCACATATAATAAAATGTTTAGTATTATAGAATACACTGAAATAAATTGAGCACAAAGAGGTGTAGCATCACTTTAAGAGAACCATTAACTAATATATTGCCAAAATTCAATAATTGTGGTGGCTTCTTGGAAAAAGAAATTTATTTTTATTTTATGCATAAAGCATTAGTATTTGCAATTTGTGGGGTAAGATTGATCAAGTTGAGTTATGATCAAATCACATTTGAGAGATAACTCTCTAAAAAATATTGTTCTATAAATATATGAGTTTAACATATTTAATTTTAAAGAATACTTTAACTTAAATATATATTTTTTCTTGTTTAAAAGAAAATAAATTTATTTGATTTACGAAAAATTCTCAACCACCATTATTTAAATGTGCGTTATGGGTAGAGTCTGTCGATCTTGTGACATTAGTCGATATAAAAATTATTAAAAATAATTTAATTTAAATTATTATAACCGATTAATTCAAGTTTAAAAAGTCAATAAACAGCTCCACCAAAAAAAAAAAAAAGTTTCTTATTCCTAAGAGCACCTACATTAGTAGATTTTGCAAGGTTTTTATACGATTGTGATGTGGAGGAGTGATAATGTGGAGAGAGAGAAAACAAAAAAAAACCTCCGGCAAGGTATTGACTTTTTGCAGATTTGTTGGTCCCATTATTTCAATTTACTAAGCATTAATGTCACGTGAATACCAAAATCGCGCCAGCAAGGCACGTGAATTGCACGCATCAGCTTGGCGCGTTAAACTAGCTAATCAGATTTTTTTTTTACTTTTAACATTATTTTATTTATTTATTTATTTTTTTAATCACACTTACAAAAACTCATTAAAAAAATCGTTATTATGATGTTCTAAGGAGGGCCTAAAAATCGGAATAGGGATGCCACGAAATCGTTGATATGAAAGGGGGATATTGATGTGGCCGGCAGAATATATAGATACATATATATAATGGAGTGTGTATATTGTAATTAAGTGGTGGGCCCTCACTGCATAAAAACTTGATCAAAAATAGCCTCCAGGCAGGAGACAGCTTGACTCATCATGGACCTTCTTTCCACCATCACATTCACAAAACTTACTCCATTTACGGCCGATAGTATTTAACTTTTACTTAGATAATAATATTAGGACTCTATATTTTATCAATTTTAAGATTTTTATTACATTTTTTAATATTATTGTAATTGTATTTTTATCATTCTTGTTCTAACTTGCTACTAAAATTATTTTTTATATCTTTATAAATACATTCATTCATGTACTTGGTAGATACGATTAATTAATATTAAAACTCTCCCAACAAATTCTTGTTCTCATAGATAGTATATCACATTAGTAAAGGTGTTGACAAAAATTAAACTTATACATTTAAATATGGAGCAAATACCAATTTTGGTCCCACGAGTATTAGCAAAATGACGGTTTTGGTCCACATGTTTAATTTCTACCAATTTTCATCCCACGACTATTGTTTTAGTACCAATTTTCATCCACGACTATTATTTTAGTACCAAAATTCATCACGCCGGTCACCCCTCCATCCAAGACATGTCGAAATCTAAAAATTTTAAGGGCATTTTCGTCCTTTTCAACTTAAGGCTCTAATTTGAGCATGAATAAAGGGATGTAAGCCCTAAGATCAATCCCAATTGACAGTTCTCCTCCTCATTCTACTTTAATTTGAGAAGAAAAACTGCGAATCACGATAGATCTTAGGGCTTAAATCTTTTTATTCATGCTCAAATTGGGATCTTAATTTTAAAAAAACGAAAATACCCTTAATAATTTCATATTTCGACATGTTTTAAACAAATGTGTGATTGGCGTGATGAATTTTGGCACTAAAACAATAGTCGTGGATGAAAATTGGTACTAAAGTAATAGTCGTGGATGAAAATTGGTAGGAATTAAACATGTGGACTAAAACTGTCATTTTGCTAATACTCGTGGGACCAAAATTAGTATTTGCTCTTTAAATATGAGAATCATGATTCATCCACTTTGCTACCTTTTTAAGTTATATATATATATATATATATATATATATATATATATATATATATATATATATATATATATATATATATATATATATATATATATCGGCTATTAGTAACATCGGCTAATTTACCTCCTTATGGTCCTTTGCAAGCTAGAGTCATAAGACAGATTTCACACAAAACACACAAAACGCACATTTAAATAATGTCTGTGAGTTTTTTTGTAAATCAAAAAATAAAAAGAAAGAAAAAACATGTTTATATTAATTGCTCTTTTTTTGAGTTTTCTTCTCAAATTTATTTATTTTGTTCTAGTAATGATACTTAATTCGGACGGTATGCAATTAATTTTTATAATATATTTACTTTTAGTGAATAATACACACACATATAAGGAGTTCAATTAAATGTTAAAAAAATTAATAATTATAAAAATATATGTATAACCAATAAAAATTACTTTGTGGGTCATATTTTACATGTTATATTTACTATTCATAAGATAAATTGATTTATTCTCTTTGTTTATTTTCTTATATTCTCTCTGTCTCATTTTACTTGTCATATTTACTATTCATTGATCAAATCAACTCATTATTCTTTTCTTATTTTCTTTAATATATATTTAAATTATTTTACATGTGACTCTTTTTTTTTTTTTTTTTTTTTTTTTGAGTCTAATGTACTTTTAATGTAGTTATAAATGTATAAATTTAATATACTAATAATAAACTTAATATTATAAAAAATTGAATTTAAAATGACTTTAGTCAAGATTCGTTAACCGAACCAGATACATAAAATAGTATAGGAGTAATTTTTAAATCGATATTTTTATTTAATAATACTTTGATATAATTTTTAAATATTTAAAACTTATATACTAAGACTAATGTACTAAACTAAATAATTACAAACAAAAATTTTTAAATTGTAAATAATTTGAGTTAACCTCGTTAACCAACTAGACATATAAAATGAGACAAGATCAGAAGTACATAAAATTGATGAAATGAGGCAAATAAAGTGCTAGTTTAGGTCACAACTTTTGGTACCCTTTTATTTCATTATCATCCAACACTTCACTTACCTTTTTTTTTTTTCTTTATATATACGGAGTATAAAAAATGATTACTTCTAAATAATACTGAAATAAAAACAAATTGTATATATCTTGAGATAATTCTCATTATTCAAATCGAAAAAATAAAATGATACGAGGAATACATAAATTTGATAAAAACGAGACAAAAAAAGTACATGTTTAGGTCACAACTTTTGTTACCCATTTACTTCATTACCAACCCTTCACTTACTTTTTCCCTCCTTTAAGGAAAAAATGATTACTTCATGAAATATCAAAGTAGAAATGAATTGTAAATCACTTGAATTAAGTCCCATTAAACAAATGAATTTCTTCATGATAATTCAGGTTTTCTAATTTTCTTTAATTTTAAGACTCAACATAAAATGATACACTATTGCGCATATGAAATTCAACTAAAACCCAAATTTCCAAAATTTGTAACACGAACTGAACCCCACCTTGCCACTAAAACGCCTAAAAACAAGTCTTAAGTGTGGCTCTACATATGTTAGACCAAGCTCGGGAACCAGTTTAGTCCACAACCTTTGTTCTCGTTAATTAAATCATACAGATACCTTGCCTTCAAAAAAAATAAAAAAAAATCATACACATAACACACTATAGGAAGTACATAAAATTGATAAAATGACACAAATAAAGTAGGTCACAACTTTTGTTACCCTTTTACTTCATTATCCTCCCATCCTTCCCAACTCACTTTATAAAAAAAGAAAAAAAAAAAATTACTTCCAGCAGGAAATATGGAAGTAGAAGACAAAAGTAAATAATGCATTTCACCCACTAGAAATGGTAATAGAGTTGCATGAGCTAGCCTGCCATATCAACCCTTATGGACAAGTAGAAACTGAGAGCACCAAACCTCATCCCCCACCACACATCACACCTCAAATTATTACACTTTTCGAGACAACCTTAGCCAAATTAGTTTGGTCGTTTATTGACTTAATAACCACAAAATTTTAAATTCAGATCTCAATACACAAGTCACATTTATCCAATAATGTATACCACGAGAGTAGCAAGTAGTGATTGCGATTTTCCTTGTCACTAAAGAAAAAAAGAAAAGAAATTATTACAGGTTTTCCCAAAATACATCATATATATTTATAACAATTAGTAAATGTTTTCACAGATTTAAGTTCATAGGTGGTGAAACACAAACGTAATTAATCATAAGAGTTAACATTAACATCATCAACCTAATTCGGAGATAATAACAATAATAATCATAATAATAATGCTACCATTTATGTTATTATACTAGTATGTAGCATGCAGTAGCAGTACTACTTTTAGCTAGCTGATCTGAGCTGAGGATCATTCATGGCTGAAAATCAGTGCCCGCCGGCGGGGCTCTGGACGGCGTTATAACGGAAACTAAAACCAACCACCCATTCCAGAAAAAAGAGTGATCATATCCGATCTGATGAGATGAGCTTGCTGGCACCATCGCCGCCGTCTCTCGGTTTACCTGAAATAATCCAGTGAAATTCTCGGCGGTGAAACTGCCACCGTCACCGACGACGTTGAATGCACCCCGGAATCCGCCGGAGACCCTGCAAAACCGGCCGCATAACTATCAGATAACAAGTCTTATTCTTACCAACAAAAAAAAAACGAAATTCTCCCGCCCAGCCCAGAACCCGGAATTGTATAGAGATAAATCACAATGACTCAGTTTCCACAAACAGTTCACCACATTAGAATAATTCTCAGACTATCAGAACTCGATCTTGTGATCTCTAACCCATAATTTACCACCCAGAATCAATTAAGCTGCCCGTACAGACAACCTTGTCAATGAATTGAAGATAAATAGGAAAAAAAAACCCTAAAAAAACAAGATTATTGCGGCATACTTGCAAAGCTATTGGCGGAAGAAGAAGTTGGAGGATTTTCAAGATGGTGGGTCTTGTTGGTACTAGGTTCTTGGTTTGGCTGCTGGTTTTTCCTCCTCCGCCGGTTGTGATCCGCCAGCCTTTTCCGGCAGCTTCTCTTGCCGTTATCAAACTCCGTCAAGAGATGAAACCTATTCCAATATAATAAATTAAAAATGTGCATATAATATTAGCAGTTTCCATATAAGAAAATGAAACGAAAGCAGTTGTCTGGTACCTATAGAAATCCAAATCCGAAGATATAAAAACAAAAAACAAAAAAAACAAAAATCGAGTCTTTTTATGATATGTTTTGATTATAGGAAACGGTGTTTTACTATAAGAAGGAAGGGTACGTAGGAGATGAAAACGGGGTAGCAAATTTATGGGGGGGAGACAATAAATATACGGACGTAAATGCCCTCGGGATCGCCCCCATGTACGTGTATTATGACAACCTTACCGGCCACGACCAATGATTGTCCAGAAAACACTCCCCCAGGACATTTCCGTCATTCCATTGCCGGGTTCGATCGACCATTTCTGGTCTTGGTTACGAGGTACCGTACGAACGACCAAGATTGTTGGAATGTGGGGTGGTACGAGGGGAGGGGAGGGGAGGGGAGAAGGGTGTTATGGTCATTTTACGAACCTGCTGCATTGTTGGCAGAATCGCTGAGTCAACCCGGCGGCGATGACGGTGGCGGCTTTGGAGTGGAACTCGCAGACTTTGTGGCGGCGGTGGTAGTGTTTCGCGTGGGTGAGGTCAGCATTGCAGCCTTCGGCTTGGCATCTCGGGGAGTTAACGGCGCCGGGATCCACCGTCCTGGACCGCCGGTAAAGGCGGTTCACGAAATCGTCCTCGGCGGAGGAGAAGTAAGTCCGGCCACCCAAATTCAGCCCAATCCGGCTGCTGCTCCCGAAGTCTATCCCCCCCACCAGCGGCTCGCTCTTCGGCACCACCATGTAGCCGCCGGGAGCCGACGGCTCCAGGGACAGCAACGGAGCATGCCCCGCCGCCGCCGCCGCCGCGTGTCCAAACGAAGCACCGCCGTAAGCGCGTGGATCATAGTACGCCGCCGCCAAGTGATGATTATGATGCGCGTTGCCTTGCGCCGCCGCCGCCGGGTTATGGAACTGGTGGGGGCCGGTCACGAAATTGGCGTTTGAACCCACCAAAGCCGCAGTCGCCGCCGCCGCCGCCGCAGCCTGATTGTCGTTGAAGGCGGTTTGCGTCGCGTACGGGTCAAAATACTGGCGGTTCTGATCGGATTCATGCCCTGTTTCATCGGAAAACATGACCGCCGCCGATTGGTTCCCCCATTCATAGTCCAACATCGCACCTTTTCCTCTTTCACTTGGAATGATCTGTTGGCTAAACAAATATAGTCACACAAATCTTTTATTGTCTATAAAAAACATAGAAAAATCATCAAACAATTGTCGGAATGTTTTAATTTTTTTTTCTTTTTTTTTTTCTTTTCTTTTCTTGTTTGGGAGGAAATCTGTCAGCTTTAAGGGAGAGAAGATTTTGTGGAGTAGAAAAGCTGCAGCTTCAAAGACTTTAGCTTTCAGTGATAAGAGTTGAGGAGTTTTATAGAAGTAGTTAACATAATACCTTCTTTTTCCTTTTTTTTTTTTTTTTTTTTTTTTTTTTTTTTTTTTTTTTTTTTTTTGAGTTTTACTGTTCTGTTTAATATAATATATTTAGAAAAATATATATTTTCTGAGGTTTTGGAATGGCTTTATGAGACATGTCGGATTACCAGGGTTTCGTTTTCTTGATCCTAAATATCTTACGTTGTGGATTCCGAATGAATCATGTGATTGTGAGGTGACATGAAAGTGATTAATTAGGAATGAGAATTTGATTTGAATTGGTGGGTTAGTTTGAGATTAGAGTGGGATTAGAAATGGATTAGGGTTGTATAATTGTTGTTAGATTTAGTTGGTGGGGGTGGGGTGGGGTGGGTGGGAGAGGGGTAGGGGGTGGGGGTGGGGGGTTGCAAGAACTCATCAGATCAGATTGTCACAGACTCACAGGGTGCAGTTAGAACTGAAAAAGAGTCATTAAAAAGACCTACTGGCTAGTGATACTGCACACTGCTCTGTTGTCCATTTCCTTGGGGGATCTGTGGTTGGGTGTTAAGTCCAACTTTTGGGTGGGTGGGTGGGTGGGGGGTAGTTTCCCTTATAAAAGTTGTATAGAGTATACAAGGTGGGCAATTTGATCAAATTAGTCAGAGAGTTGATTTAATAATCACAAGATTTTAAGTTTGACTCTTGGTAAAAACTGTCTATTGGTATTTTTAGTTTGAACTGGTCAGCTATGAGCAACTTAAGTTGTTTTAACTTCTTATGGTTCTGTTGGGGGTGTTAGTTTTCCTTACAAAAGTTGTATAGTGGACACAAGATGGGCAATTCCAATCAAATTAGTCATATAGTTGACTTAATTAACAATCACAAGGTTTTAAGTTTGACTTTCGTAGAAACTGTTTATTGATATTTTTGGTTTAAGTCGGTTAACTATAAGTAACATATGTTATTTTAACTTTTTATGGTCATTTGTTAGTTAGTTTTACTGGGTGAGTTTCACACAATACGCACATTTGGTTAACGACGGCGATTGACTTTTCTTAAAAAAAAAAAAAAAAGAAAAGAAAAGACACGAGGTTTCTGATTTAATCTTGTGAATCGAGTACCATGTCTTAACGAGAATGCATTCAAATAGCTAGGGTTCAACAACAATTTAGGATCATGATGCCTAAAAAATAAAAATGACTTGTTAGGTTTTCAAAAATTCTAAAATATATACGCCTTTTGTCTCATTTTGTGTTGTATAAAAAAGATATAACTTTAATATGAGGTGTGATTGAGTGCAAGGCACTTATTCATCATTATAACTAAAAATTAAGAGTTCGATCCTTGACTTTGAGTATGGAGCCTTAAATGCCTACAATTCAATAAACTATAAGCTATGTTTGGTAATGTTCTTAATAAGCTAGTAGCTTTCAAAATTTTTTTTCATCTTTGTCCTTAATATTTTAAAGAAATGACATCATTTTTTTTTCATCTTTGTCCTTACTATTTTAAAGAAATGACATCTTTGTCCTTAATATTTTAAAGAAATGACATCCTTATCCTTCCTAATTAAAATTCTTTTTCTCTTCGATCTCCTTTATTCTCTAACTTTCACCGCAATTATTATTATTATTATTATTATTATTATTATTATTATTATTATTATTATTATTATTAGATGAAGGAGATTCGTAACAATATTGCTAGCTACTTCATTATGTGATGCTAAATCATAATTATGCTAATAATTTTATTTCAAAATGTTAATCTTTTTTGAAGACAAAATGTTAAATTTTAATATGTAAACAAACTAATTTAAATTTTATGAAGATGTCATTTTTTTGTCTTTTTACATTTATCAACTTATCAAAAATTTAATTTTACCAAACATTTTCAAGCATAACAGCTAGTTTTAACAGCTATTCAGTTTTCAACTCCTAGATTATATATAGCTTTTCACCTTTCAGCTATGTTTGCCAAACGTAACCTATATGACGATGAAAACCCTGCACCGAAAAAATATATATAACTTTCATTTTATAATCTAATTTTTAAAATACATACCCCTTTATTTTGGCTGAGAAACTATAGACTCGAAGGTAACAAGTCATTTCCTTTGAATTTGTGAGGGTTTGGACTTTGGATGATCCAGACATCTTGATATCATGTCTAACGGTGGGTCTTGTCGAATTCATATCGGTCCTGTTTAGTAAAATAGTTAGTCTATCAGTCAATTTTAATTTATTTGACTATTATTAACTGTTTGACTTGACTTAAAAATTTATAAGTGTGCGCTTAATCGGTTTTTTGCAACTTCAAAATGCTATCATCAAAAAGTTGCTTAAAGGAACTTTTTCAATTAGCTTTCTAAGAAAAGAAATTATATCAAACAGCTATCAACTAACAGCTAATTTACCAAACATTTTTCTACAATTAGCTAATGTTATCAACAAGTCATACCCTCTAACTCAATCAGCTAACAGCCATTTACCAAACAGGGTTGATAGTTGTTAGCTGATTGGTTAGTGAGTTTGACTAGTTAATAGTATTAGCTGATTGTAGAAAAAATGTTTGATAAATTAGTTGTTAGTTAATAGTTGATTGCATGCAAAATGTCTTTTTTGAACAACCGACCGAAAAGAACTTTGAGCAACTTTTTAAAGTTTAGCATTTTGGAGCAATAAATTGTTACAAAAAGCTAATTAATCAAGCATTCATAGTGATTGTTTAACAATGTCAAACAACTAACAATGGTTAAATAAGTCAAAATTGACTGATAAGCTAACAATGTTACCAAATATTGCCTATATAAACTTAATTGGAAAATTTTAAATGTTGTGCATGACATTTTAATGTACATTAGTGGGTTATACTTGGTGTTTGAGGGTTGTACTTTAATGATAAATACAATCTAGCAAAATACAAAGTATATATAATTAACCGCTTAATGCCGCAGGTAAAAAAAATGTTGTGCATTCTATTTTAAAATACAACTAACTTAATATATAACCCGACAATGACATAACTCTATGACTTGACTCTAATACCACTAGATTAAGCTGTTATCACTATATCAAAATTTTTAATTCTTAGTGTAGGTACAATTTTATTTTATTATACCAACACATTTTCGAGACTCAAAATACTTAGATTTTACCTTTTCACTAACCTCTAGTCAATAATTTCTTAACCATCAATTGTTGATCTTGGCCGTTCACTGACCTCTGATAAACAAATGGTTGGGGATGACTCGATTTTTTTTGTCTCTCTGTTGTGATCAATCAATTCAAATCGTATAACTTTGGAAGAGTTAAAATATTATTTTGTAATACAAATGATCAAATGGCATCTGCTCAATAATGGATGATATATATATATATATATATATATATATATATATATATATATATATATAGAATTACTTTCATGTAAAAACAGAGTTTAAAATACAATAGTGTGGACATTTCTGGATCGTTGGATTTTGGGTATCTAAGGTTGTGATTAGTTTTTACGATTTTGTGTGCTATCAGCCTGTGTGCACGGCCGTTCATAGATGTGTACACGCCGGCCTAAATACTGTGGATTCACACATTTATACTACATTGGATGTGTGTACTGTCGTCCACGGGTGTGTGCATATCCGTATTTAGGTGTATGTACGGTATATGTCCACATATTTGTATTTTAAGGATGTTTGCATGTAAATGCAACCCTCTATATATATATATATATATATATATATATATATATATATATATATATATATATATGTCTCTAGGTGATGAGCACTACTGAGGAGCAGAGGTCTGATAATGTTACTTATGAGGCGGCTTTGATCAGAGATTGGTTGTGCAAAGAGTGTGTGGTCGTACCTGCAGCGATGTTTTACCAGTTTTACCCCAACAACACCTATCAAATTTCTTCAAACAGAAAGAGAGAGATAAAATGTCTCTGATAGAGTATATGAAGTATGATTCTCGTGTTTAAAGATTATGAGTTTAATTTTTGTCTCTTAATTGCATCAACCCAATGTGAATAGGAATTAGTCTGAAAATAATACGGACTTAAAATGTTTCCTACACTTAGAGCATGCTCAGGACACCTCATGGCTTGACAAAAAAAAATTATAAGTTTAATTTTTATCAATATTATTATAGTCGACTTAGTACGCTTGATTTCTCTTATTTGCTTTGTTGACTATTACACAAAAAGAAAATTTTACCCAATATAGACTCTAAAAGAGTGACAGATGAATTTTTTCTTTTGTAAAATAGAAAAAAAAAATGATAGATCTCAGTACTGCACTATGCTTACTTTTCCGTGATTGTCATATCCTATTTAGAATTAAGTAGGTAGACACTACGTAACCACATCTCTAAATGAACTACAACGTTATGTTTTGAATCGAGCATGGACTGAACTAGACTAACATGATCCACTCAATAAAAGAAGAGAAAGATAAGATGAGGAGGATCTCAATCATCAATCAGTCTGTATTGTAGGGTAGAGTTGTAACTGGAAAACGTCTTTTACACGGAAATCCACTGCCACCCTTCACCTCTCTAAAACTCTCTTTGTGCATTTCCAATCAAACAAATCCCCCCTCTTTCTCATTTTCAACTTTAATTCCTTAACTCTTTTTCATTTTTTTTTAAACTTTAATATAATTCCTTATTTTATAGTTCACTTGGGGGATACTTTTACCAATTCAAGTAACTTCAACATTTTCTTCGTAACATTAACTATATGCATGCTACAGTCAGAGACGTTTAGGTAATAAATTATCTTGGTATAAAAAGAATTTTAATTTAAATTAACACACTTATTAATCAACACTTTAGAATTTTCTTCAATCATATTTAATTGAACTAAAAGAAAAGGAAAAAAAAATGTAGCTCATTCATTGTACTAGAAGACTAAATAGCTCCAAGAAGTAGATTGGTGAAGTATCACTCTCAAGATCTTAAATATCATATGGTAAAATATCAAGCTACTATCCACA